TTTTAGCAATACTAATTAGTATATTAATATATTTAAGGGATAAAATCAACTAAATTAGTGAAACAAATGATAGAAACAAAAGCAATAATATTAATTAGTAATCATATTTAATAAAATCATTAGAAAAATACAGTCATGAAGAATATCTTCTTTTAAAGTGTTTCGTGTTACAAAATACCGCGCGCGCCTAAGGTTGGCTAACGGAGGGTTCAGATGCAAGTCGGCACGGGTTCCCGTTTATAGAATGAGCTGAAATTTTTACTGGGAGTATATAAACAAGTAATAAATATAATTAGAGGGTATGCGTAAAAAAAATAAAAATAAGGGACACCCTAATGCACGTAAACCAATAGTAAATAAAGTAAAGGCATCTTGTACGCATAGCTTTGAGTTAAATCTGATGATAAACTGTTTAATGTTTGCAATTTCTATTCTACAGTGTGTCTACCTAAGTTGGCAACATTTGGGAAACTTTTTTATTATTAATTTTAAGAAAAAAATTTATTTTCAAAAAAAGTTCTGCATGTTCTAAAATCTAAAATACAATCATCAGATATAAAAAAATTTCAGTCGTATACGAGGTTTGTCAAAAAATATGAATCTTACGCAAGAGTAAAGTATACCTTTATATTTGACAATATCGAAAATTCTTATTAAAAAAAGTTTATCAGAACTAAAAACTACGTTCAAATATGCAATTACTTCCATTTACATGGAAAAAAATCATTTTTTCGCTTTTGTTTACAATAACAATGCAAATGTAAGTGTAGTTACATTTAATCTAGGATGCACTGACAAACAACAAATGATTTGTTGATAGCAAGAAATGTTTGACATTGAATGTCAAAACATCAGAATTTGCTTATTACTTTCCCAAGCAGCATTTTTGGTTCCAAAAACCATTACCAAAGTGGTGATAACTTTTAATTAGTTAAGTATACTAAACAGCTACTTTAATTTTTACTTAAAAGTAATTCTAACTTTTGAATAGCAATATTTTGTAACAGAAACTTCATTCTTTCCTTAAATGGTTACTATAAAGTATTAAACATTTAAGTAAAACTTGGTTGCCCCCAAGAAGACTTTGCAACTTTAAAAAAGGGGTTGTAAGTAAAAAAACTTTCAAGTAAATTTAATTTGTAGCAGTTACTTTCGGTTGCTACCTAAGGATTACATTATAATTATTTTTACTTTGTAGTCCCTTTGCAAGTTAAAATCTCGAAACTGGAACATGAGTTAAAAACTACAAAGTTAATAACTTAAAAGTTATTATTTTAGTATTTGGAACGTTTATGGTACTAACCCAAACTACCGTAAAGTAAATTAAGGTGGAAAAAACTTTAAAGTAGCGAAAACTACTTCAAAGGAAAATGCTTCTTATCGGCCATTTTTTACTGTATACTAAATAATTTATTATTTACATTACCACCTGGTACTGTATACAGTACCAGGTGGTAATGTAAATAATAAATTATTTAGTAATTTTGTTGGTAATAGACGATTTTAATAATTAAATAAAAAATGAATAATAAATATTAAGATTTTTTTATTTATAAACATTATTAAATAAATAATTTGTTTATAGGTACTTAAATATTGATGAAGCGCATTTATTTTACAAAAACTAAATTCATAATAAGTTCAACAGTAAAATTTAAAGGGTTTACAAATTTACCTGTCTAATTAAACATTATATTGTTATTCTGGAAGTTATAAACTACCAGTAAATACGACGACGACATTGGAAAGCCAAGTCCGTAGTGGTTCCATTTAAAAAAGGAGGGATAGTATATATAATCTAATATAAGTTTGACAAAGACAGTTAATATAGAAGTAAAAACAAATAAATATTAGTAATTATAACGCTCTAGCAACGATATTGGAACGTTCTAGTAACGTAGCAGCTTCGTTCCAAATAGTAGCAGGGTTTATAGCTAGTGACATATTTGTTACCCTTTTGAAACTCAATAATTGTTCCCCACTTTAGTCGTAACTTAGTAAAGAGTCGCAAAACACAAGTTTCTTCAATAGTCCCATATACCTAACAAATACTTAATTGGGATGTAATTTCATATAAAAATATAGTTTTTCATTCCGAACAACTTTTCATAATTAAAGTTTTCAATGTTATCCCAAATAACGGTACTTTACTCTTGTACTAAATTTATATTTTTTGTCAAACCTTGTATATGACTTAAAAAATTTAATATCCGATGATTTTATTTTAGATTTTAGAACATGCAGAATTTTTTATAAAGAATAAATTTTCTTCGTAAAATTAATAATAAGAAAGTTTCCCCTAAGTTGTCAACTTAGGTAGACACACTGTATATATTTTTTTTCTTAATTGCTATGACCTTTACCGCGATATGCTTAAATAAACAGCTTTACAATAAATATCCGGTTTAGGGTAATACAATTTTCATCATATCAGAATAAATTATTTACCTAATTTTTAAATCTGAAAGTTCCTGTGAAAAAATGTGTCAAAATTTGTATTAAATAAAAATACCGAAACCGTCCCACACAGTGTCCTCACAAATAAATAACTATAACTTGTCCATTCCAGTAGATCGTGAACCTGATCTCTGGTTTCTCCCTTTGCGACATTTTCAGCCTAAAGAACAAAGATAAATCGGAAAAAAGGTCTTGGTGTGCGGCAGCCGGCCAAACTGAAATCTCTTTTTTTAAGCAGGCTCTGCTTTGGCCGCCCAGTTGCCTTTTGATCCAAGCAGTCTGCCAGAAACGCTCGGCTTCTGTTTATTTTTAGACGGCCATTTGGATATTCCAACGCCTAGCTGGATATTTTCGTGCATGTATTGTCGTTTGCAATGTTGCCTAGATGTTTATGATGTAGAACATTCTTGAAAACAATACCTTCATTTTTTCACAGTTATGGTTATGGTTTTGACAAAAATGTTAATAATTACACTAGTTTACAGCCATTTTGCCCACCATGTCTCGCTACGATTTTGTTGATAAAAATACATGGATAAATGGCGAAGTTATGATTTTTTCAGTGAAAGACCAAAATTCAGTTTTTTGACAATTTTTACGTTTTTTCTTCATTTTATTGAATTATATAAAATTTAATATTGAACATTGATTTTTATTTTAAACATTAAATATTGAACATTGAATATATATTGAATATATTGAAAGTTTTATTTTGTTGTAATAAGCATAGGTTTAAAAAAATTCTGACTCCTTTGTTTTTTGTTGCTTTCGTATTCCGTTTCTCGTATGAGGGGCCAAATGTAATCACCCATCATGGCTGCATCCCAGAAGCCGTGATACTGCCGCTCCATAGCCTTCATTTGCTGGTGAAAACGTTCTCCGTGCTCATCACTTACGTAGCCCAGATTGTGCGGGTTATTTACGCACTCGAACTCTCTACTTCTTTTACTCATTTTACACTTTTTATAAACTAAATAAAACCATGATAAAAATACCTTGTTGAAATATCAAAAAATAGCAGTAAATTGTCTCTATTTCAACACGAGAAAAAAATTCCCGTGTGCGGAGTCAAATTTAAATTTTGAATAATGTTTTTGGTGAAAAAATTACGTAAAAAACTAAAAAAAATTCCAATCATGCACTTTACCTAGGTTTTTATTAGAATAAACATATTACAAATTAAAAAAAAAATCGTCAAAAAGCTGAATTTTGGTCTTCCACTCGGACCATTCAACTTCGCCATTTTTCCATGTATTTATATAAAAATTAGCTTGTTTTTTTTTGTAAAAATGTCAGCTTCACGAAAAAAAATTCAAACTGGAGTTACCTTAAAAGTATGTAAAACAAAGTTTTAGAGGGCTCAAATACCTTCAATTTAAGGGCTTGTTTGACCAAATCGATAAATTAAATTTCAAGCTATATTCAAAAACGTCAAAACACCTCCGAAAATTGAAAAAAAAAACAATTGAAAATTCATGTTTCAAAAACGCTTTCATAAAAAAAAAATTGAGTGTGATTTCCGTTTTTAGTGGGTCAAAATACCTACATGGAAAAATTATAATGGGATATAGTGGACAGAATTTTTTTTCGATTTTGTAAACTATATAGTGTTACTTTCTACTTTGCAAACAAAATGTCGTACGAAATCTGTATTATTAATTTTAATACCTTTTAACCTTTTAACTTTTAGATTTTTATTATTTAGGTACCTACATAATTAAATTTTGATCATAAACATTCATTAACAATTAATTTTGTTTAGACAAATTTGGTAACAAATCAATAATATGAAAAACCTTGCATATCAAATACCTACTTAAATTTACTCCTACATATAGATACATTACTACTTAAGTCATTGACATTGACCGAGAATATTATCATAATATTACATTAATATGTTAAAGAAGTATACATATGATTTTGTACTTATCATTAAATATTAAGACAAAACTGTATTATTTTAGTTACAATATTAATAAATATTATCTACATATTTACCCAGATGATACCTATCATTGATTTAATCTTATTCGATTTCATTTGTTTATTATTTACATTGATTGGTCAAACCAATTATTTTTTATTACTAGATACTGAACATCGCAATAACCGATGTGCAATTTAAAACGAGAAAATCTGATATTGGTAAAGTAGGTATAGGTAAAATTTGAAAAAGAAGGTCATACAATCCAAGGCAATTTTGCCCAATGAAATTTGCCATTTAAGGAAACCAACCAATAAAATAAAGGAGTTAAATGCGTGAATCAGACTGTTGTTAAAGTTTCTTTGTTAATGTAGATAAATTATTAATAAAAAATTGTCGTTATGATTTAAGACGTAAAACCGTTAAATAGTTCATCATCAAAAATCAGCTGATTTAAAAGTATTGATTATTCCTTTAAAAACATTGCGACAAATATATTGACAGATCAATTAAGTTAAATCAAAATCGTATAACTAATTTCCGCATGCAAAAAACTAATGTTTTTTGTTCAAAACAACAAAAAGGCAGTAATATGATATCCTGAATGAATACTTACATGACTAATCTTGATATAATTGTTGATATCATTTCCAACACTAAAATCACTAAAATGTCAAATTTTGCTGTTAAATTGAAGTGTCTGTCAAGGAAAACAAAAATTCAAAGGCGATCGCACTTTCATTGTGTCAGGCACCGCGGCCATCTTGAGTAACCCACTCCCTCGGAGGGAGTCCCTCCACTAAAAGCAAATGTCACAATCTGTCAACGTTGCAGAAGCAGAAATCTGTAATTGCAGAGTGCTGGTTCGGCGCGTCGACGATAGGTGGCGGGGTTTACGTGGTGGTGCAGGAAAAATTAATTTTCCGCGGCTGCCAGGCAACCACGCTTCGAAGGCGGCGGATTTCCTCGACCTCGCCCGAACCGTCTTCGTATCGGCGAGCGAGTTTCTTCGCGTTCGCACCGCGCACTCGATGTTAACATCTTCGCGGTGTCGACGTAAATCCGCGCTTTTCGAGTATGGGCGATCGTGCGCTGTTTCTGTGAGTTTTTTCCACGATTAAGGATAACTTCTTGGCGAAGTATGTGTGGAGTTTGAGTCTGCAAGTGCACCCATCGACAATGACATGCAAGTTCCGCGAAGAGATCGTTGGGAAGCGGTTTATGTTAGTGAGTGAAGATGTAAGCAAGTTAAAAAATAGTGAAATCAGTGAGTGGAGTTGGAGGTCTGGCGTAATTCGTGCTGCAACACATAGGGATAATAACCACCCGGACTTACAGGTAAATAAATAAATAAATAAATAATAAACGCAACGTTCTCTCTGAAGGGGGTGTGTCCCATATTTAGAACACATACATGTGTTCTGCGTACGTACGCAAATACAAGTAAGCCGCGACTTCATACGATCACATTATTGGTTGAATTTGGGTGAAATATTATAGCACTGCATTTGAATGGCTTAAATACCTGCATACAAGTGTGCTGAGTGTGCTGTGACTTTATACACGCAGGTTATTGGTTAAATTTGGGTGTCAATATCACAGAAACCTGCCATAATTGTCTTACAAATTACAAATAACAAAAATCTTTATATAAGCGTCAAAACAATTTTTAATTTAATAATAATTATTACGAAATACAAAAAATTATTTAGGTCAATAGGTAATATCTTAAAACTACAAATTAAAAACCCAAATGACGTTTAAAAAGCACACGTGCTCAATGTAAATACTGTTTATTTAGAATCATCAATGAACAAAATTTGTCCTAAATTTTTAGATTCAGATTAATAACATTACATTTTTATAGATATATGTATGTACCTACTTATTATGTTTTAAAAAAGATAAGTTCACTCTGGTTCCTTTTAACAATGTTATGATTTATTTTACGGCCATAATGTACATCTGACAACCATGTCATAACTTTGACAAGTAAATAGTACATAACCTCAAAGATAATACACCTTTTTTTGCATTTGCCATAACAACTATTTTATGTAGGTATACTGAGTGTTTTACGTAAGTCGATATTTGAAGTTAATATTTTTAAGATAAAACTTTGGGATTCTTTGGTGCGCCATTTTCAGTTCACCCTGTATACTGAATACCAAATTAAGGTCGAGACCCGATAAGTTGGCCATGCTGGTGAAGAAGTTGCGGGGTCAACAAACCACAAAAGTCCGTACGAGACCGGCTGATCAAGTTCTCTACTTTGTACCTACCATGGTACCACAAGAAAGTAAGGTTTGTTCTTCGGTAGGGCGAATTTTCACTTTGCGCACCACCCAGTTACCGCCCTTAGTCCATTTCCGCCTTTAAATTTAAAAATTATTTTCCTATGAAATTCATCCGAATTTCTATAAAATTCTAGAAAATGTTATTAATGAAAAAAACCATTTTACATGTTTTTTTAATTACCTAAATAAAATACCTATATTGTTTTAATAAAGGTAAATAATAATTACAAAATACCAAATAGGTACCAAATAAAATATATGAAAAAAGTGCTAAGAAAATTTAGGTTCATGGTTAAATTTTTTTAATAATGGGTTTTCAAATAAAATATCTTCTCTTAAAGCCATAACTTTTTTAATAGGTACAGGTATGCATTTATAAATGCATTTATAAGTGAAATATTTTAAATAAAATAAAATATCCTGTTTTAAAGAAAATACAAAGAATGAAATAAAAATTCTCAAGTTACAACATTAACATTGCAAGAAAAATGTAAAAAACATATTTTTCTACTCCCACCTTTAAAACGCCCTTTATCGTATATGGTTCCAAGACACTAAGTGACCTTTTAAATACACATTGACAAGTTGTGGCTTTACGGTGCTTTAGTCACGGGCTGAAGTTAGCAACAGGTTTTTAGTCACGGACTGAAGTTAGTTTTAAGTTAGTTGGCAGTTGTCAAATGTCATACAATCGTTAAAATAAAGTGCCTTTCTTGTAAAATAATACTAAATGTGAAAATTATTTTATTATATCAATACAAAAATACAACAATTTTAAATAGTTTCTCAACGCCAATATTTGAAAAGTTTATATGAACATTGTTCTGACCTTTTAATTTCGCCGGCAGTAAACTATAACTTAAATTCGGGCACGGACTATACTGTCCTCATAAAACATTTCCTTTACTTTCACTGTGAAAAACTGTAAATTTTCAAGATACATTTCGATTTATAACCTTTATAATTGTGTTTATAAAATGTAAAAATGTGACATTTGACAGTTTCCCCTGTTGTTTCATAGATGGCGCTCTATACAAATTTTTGATTTAAATCATTTTAAGATAATAATGAGTATTTGTCGTAGAAAAACTATAGTATGCACCTCGTTTATAAACTTTTCTCTACGACTACTTAAGAATAGTAACATTCTAGTGTAATTTTTGATCATAGAAAGGATGTTTTTCTGCAATACTGTGCGAGAATATTCCTACTCTTGTTTAAGAATGGTCACAAGTAACGACATCTCCTGGCTGTTTACTAAACGTAAAAAATTTAAAAATATTTAAATATTACTGTATTATTTACTAATTAAAAAATAATAGCAGTTGTATAATTAAGGTTTAGGCACAAAAAATTAGTTATATTTATTGTTTTTCAAATATACAAATCTAAATTATAATAAATTTGATATTAAAATGATAAACCAGTTACCTACTATACCGGCTTTGAAGGTTTGACAGATTCAAAAAGTTTAGAAAAAGACCTTTAAAATGTAGAAAAAGAATAGATGTTGACATAGATTACTTGTAAAATTAGTTTTGTATTTGTTACAATGTTATTTTTTTATTAGTTAGTGTAAATAACTATTTTTAATTATAAAAAATATTTAGGCATACCTAAAGTGACCAGATTCTGTCAAAAAAAATCGGGACATTTTGTATGAATTTACCTTAATTACAAAATTGACACAATGATACAATGCAAATTGTAAATTTGACGTTACTTAATTATTGTTGATTGTGACATTTTTGTATTTAAGGTTAGTTTACACAAAATGTCCCGTTTTTTTTTTGACAGAATCTGGTCACTTTAGGCATACCATTTGTTTAAATTTATTATAATTTACATTATAAAATTGTGACAGCACAAAATGGTTTGACAATACAAAAAACTTAAATGTCAAAAACTGCTTGGTTTCTTTTCTCTGTTTAAAATTATATAAGCGTTACTATTCTTACGTAGTCGTAGAGAAAATAATGTCTGAAACACGTTTGGAATAGCATATTCCACTCTCGTAAAACCGTCACACTCGCCTTCGGCTCGTGTGTCAAATTTTTCCTCGAGCGGAATATGCTGTATTCCAAACTTGTTACAGAATGTACTATTCTATACACTCATTAACTCGCAAACTCGCTCGTGCCTAAATTAAATTCGTGTATAAAATGGCGTTTATCAAACTTGATACATAATATACTATTTTCTAAATTTATAAACCACATAGTTATTACACTTAAGTGTATATTATTTATTTAAAATTTATATAGTTTAGAATGGGGTTTTTGGGAAGCCACCAGGTCTAGTAATAACATAACAAAAGTGGTTCTGCACTAATGCAAGAATTTTAAAAAATCATACATTTTGAATATTAGAGTTTCACGGAAGATAGCTTTACGGAGGTTAGGATTTGGTATGTTTTTTTAAAAACATCCCTTTGTATATTTGAAATAAGTTATTGCATCTTTTGACACCTTAATATTTAAAAAAAAATACAATTGTAGGTAAATACATACGGAGGTACATACCTACATAAAATATTTATAAAAAAAAACCTACTTCACGGTGGATAGGTTTTTAAATGGCAAATTAATAAACTTAAACTTTTGAATTATAAAACAGCAACACTCTCATCTGCATATAAATTCTAACTGACCTTCAGGAATCACATGCATCTATAATGTCGTAAACAGAGGTTTTTGCTTATTTAAGATGATTAAAGCGCCATCCGTTGCATAAAATTTAAAGAAAAAACGGATTCACGGAGGATAGAATAAATTTTTTAACACCTACATGAATGGTTATAAAAATTATTTCTTTTAATTTTTAATTATATTTTATATTTGATTCGATTGCTTCGGATGTGCTTTTACTACCTCAGATATTTGAAAACATATAGGTTAACCTAGAAAGAGTAAAAGTCACGGAGGATAGGTTTTAGACTTTTAAAACATTGTAAAAAATAATTAATTGCGGTTAAAAATCTGGAACCTGAGCTGTCATATCTACTTAATTATGAAAGATCAAAACACAATAAAAGTGTAGGTCAAACTCATTTAGTTTTATTAAATATCACGGGTTAACACCATCGGGGGACATTTCGTGAGATTCACCCATATGCCATTGTGTTTTTTTTTAATGTTGAAATTCAGTTTTCAACGGAGTAAACTCGTTGACTATCGATCCAAAAACTGCTCTCAGGAAGATACGTTTCAGAAAAATGCGAAAGCGGGTTGGGATAGAGTTAACGAGGCGATACTCGAGCGCGTCGATAAAACCGCCCTGCAGGCCTCAGCTATCACCGCACAGACAGGTATTTTGACGCAAAACGTGGCCAAAAATATTTGGGCACTTTTT